CTGTAATCTGATGTGATTTCCTTATGTGTTGTAAACTCTATCACTATGATGTAATAAGATGGCTTAGCAGCAGTTATACTGATGAGGTCTACAAGATTAGATAGTGTCTTAATCCAGTCTCTTTTGAGATATAAAAGAGAGAAGGGAGCAGAGACACATGGGGACCTCATATCACCAAGAAAGCAGTGCCGGGAGCAGAGCGCGTCCTTTGGACCTGAGGTTCCTGTGCTGAGATGCTCCCAGACCAAGGGAAGACTGTTGACAAGGACCTTCCTCTGGAGCCAACAGAGAGAGAAAGTCTTCCCCTGCAGCCAGTGCCCTGAATTTGGACTTGTAGCCTACTAGAATAAATTTCTCTTTGTTAAAGCCATCCACTTGTGGTATTTCTGTTATAGCAGCACTAGATGACTAAGACAGCAAGGTCATGGAAGCTTCACAGACACATCCAAACTTCCTGAGGGACCAAATTACTGGGCTGAGAGCTGTGGGGACCATGGTCGCGGGGAACATCTAGCTCAATGGCATAACATAGTTTATAAAGAAATGTTCTACATTCTACTTTGGAGAGTAGCATCTGGGGTCTTAAAAGCTTGTAAGCAGGCATCTAAGATACTCCACTGGTCTCACTCTGTCTGGAGCAAGGGAGAATGAAGAAAACCAAAGACACAAGGGAAAGATTAGTCCAAAGGACTAATGGAGCACAAGTACCACAGGCTCCACCAGACTGAGTCTGGCACAACTAGATGGTGCCCGGCTACGACCACCAATTGCTCTGACAGGGATCACAATAGAGGGTCCCAGACGGAGCTGGAGAAAAATGTAGAACAAAATTCTAAAAACAAACCAGACTCACTTGTTGGAGAGAGATTGAAGAAACCCCAAGAGTGTGGCACCCAGACACCCTTATAGCTCAGTAAAGAAGTCACTCCTGAGGTTCACCCTTCAGACAAAGATTAGACAGGCCCATAAAACAAAATGAGACTAAATGGGCACACCAGCCCAGGGGCAAGGACAAGTAGGCAGGAGGGGACAGGAAAGCTGATAATGGGGAAACCGAGGTTGAAAAGGGGAGAGTGTTGACATGTTGTGGGGTTGGCACAAAACATTATGTATATTAATTGTTCAATGAGAAACTAGTTTGCTCTGTAAACCTTCATCTAAAGTACAATAAAAAAAAATCAAAAAGTAGTTAAGTATAGCTGCAGAGGTGCATTTACCATGAAGCTAATGAAGTTTACACCTCGGAGACTCCTCGCTTGTGTAAGCCCCTTCCAAGGCCTTGGGTAATGGGTCTCAACAATTCAAAGAGTATTCAAGATGAGTCCCTGCTCAAAAAAGCTTGGAGTGTCCTGCAACCTTAAATTCTTACTTGAATGAAACTTGATATGGATTTTCCCAAACTTGACAACACTAAAAATTTACAACAGTGTGAATCTGAAATAAAACTTTCTTCAAGTATCAATAATAAAAATGTTTTTAATCAACCACATTAAAGAAAAAATTATCTTTCTATTCTCTCTACAAAAAAATGATATTATGAAATTGTCATGAGAAAAGCTGGTCAAGGAATGTGGGCGGAGATGTTTTATAGAGCTATGTTAGGCAGTAAAATTAATAAAAATATTGTGTATATTTTAAGAATTTGGGGTTGCATATGGTGAAGGTTACCTTTTAAATTTTGTAATTGGTTGGAATTTATTTTCTCATATTAAACATTTGTATTTTTAACTTTGTATATGTTTTCTAATTGTGTAAGCTTCACACTTCACAAAACCTGAATCTGTCCCTGCCTTGCACTCAATAAGCTCCCAGTAAACAGTACTTATTTTTGTTAATGTTATTGTTGTTATTTGAAGACCCAACAGGAAGGATTGAGGAGTCTATACTCTTCGAGCATCTATTGGCTTAAGACTTCATACAACGATTGTTACCAGCTATATATTCATCCACACATTTATTATTGATTCATTAATTCAGTAAAGGTCTATTGAATGCCTGTAACATTCCAGGCACTAATGTAGGCACTGGTGATGCAGCAGGAAACGATATGGACAAGTGTCTATTTTCAAGGAGCTTACAGCCTAATGAGAATGATCCATGGAATTGTTTAGAGGTTTTAAAAAATTACCTACAGGTTCTCCCACCCAAAGATTTTTTTATGAAAAGATTTCAAACATAGAGAAAAGTAAAATGAAGTGCATAGTGAACATCCATATACTCACCATCAACCAAAAAACAAACATGTTGCCATTGAGTTGATTCCAACTCACGGCAACCCCATGTGTTAGAGTAGAACTGCTCCATAGGGTTTTCTTGGCTGTTATCTTTACGAAAGTACATTGCCAAGCCTTTCTTTTGCAATGCTGCTGGGTAGGTTCAAACCTCCAACCTTTCAGTTAGTAGCTGAGAGCAAACTGCACCATGCAGGGACCATCAAAACAAACAAAAAAAACCCCACCAGACCCATTGCCTTCAAGTTCCAACTCATAGCAACCCTGTAGGACGGAGTATAACTGCTCTACCGGGTTTCCAAGGCTGTAATCTTTACAAAATCAGACTGCCACATCTTTCTCTTGTGGAGCCACTGGATGGGTTCAAACTGCTAACCTTTTGGCTAGCAGCCAAGTGCTCAACCACTGCGCCATCAGGGCTCCTTATACCCACCATACAGGCTTTTAATTTTTAAAGATGAACTACAGTTTGATTTCGAAAGATCGTGTTCAGTCAATTCTTTTTTTTTAAGAACAGCTTTATTGAGATATAATTCACATGCCACACTATTCACCCATTTAGAGTGTACAATCCAATAGTTTTTGGTATATTCACAGATATGTGCAAGCATTACCACAATTTCAGAACATTTTTATCACCTCAAAAAGAAACTCTGTACCCTTTAGCTATCACCACCCCCCTCATTCCTCCATGCCCTCCTCAGCCCCTGGCAGCCCCTAATCTATTTTCTGTCTCTATAGATTTTCCTGTTCTGGACATTTCATAGGAATGAAATCATACAATATGTGGTCTTCTGTTACTGGCTTCTTTGACTTATCATAATGTTTTCAAGGTTCATCCATGTTGTAGCATGTATCAGTACTTCATTCCTTCTTATGGCCAAACATTCCGTTAGATGAATATACCACATTTCAGTGATCCATCCATCAATCGATGTACATTTGAGTTGTTTCAACGTTTTGGCTATTATGAATAATGCTGCTATGAACATCCATATACAAGCTTTTGTGTGGACATGTGCTTTCATTTCTCTTGGGTACATACCTAAGCGTGGAATTGCTGGATCATAGGGTAGCTCTAAGGAGCCCTGGTGGTGCAGTGGTTAAGTGCTTGGCTGCTAATTGAAAGCTTGGTGGTCCAAAACCACCCAGCAGCTCCAAGGGAGAAAGAATTGTTAAACTGTTTCTATAAAGACTAGAGCCTAGGAAACTCTATGGGGGCAGTTCTACTGTGTCACATGGGGTCACTATGAGTCAGAATTGACTCAATGACACCCAACAACAACAACATGGTAGCTCTATCATGTAACTTTAGACATTCTTTAGCAATGCTGGTTTGATAATCCACTGGTGATTATGCCATATTCCATTTATTCATTAACAACATGGATGAACCTTGAAAAGGGGACAGGGCAATCCTATCACATTCCCAGGAGGAGGAGAAACAGAATATTTAGGAATGGTCATAATGTCTACACATCTCCTACTCTGTCCTTCCAAGAAGATAAGGGTGTTCCAAAGCTCTTCCATGTCGCTTCTCTCAGTGGGTGTTCACAACACCTTTACAGTTTTATACAGGAGAAAGCAAAATAGTCCAGAGAAGCGCAGTGACTCATCCAAGGTCACACATCCCAGGTGTGGAATGAGTTAGTGGTTGGGAGAACCTGGGTGGTAAAAGTTAAGCACTTGACTACTAGTGGAAAGGCTGGTGATTCATGCCTACCCAGAGGCGCTTCAGAAGACAAGCCTAGCAACCTGCTTCTGAAAGGTCACAGCCTTGAAAACCCTATGGAGCAATTCTACTCTGCACACACGTGGTCGCCATGAGTCAGAGATGGACTCCATGGCAACTAACAACAACAAAGGAGAGCCCCAGCTCTGTCCTTGGTGCTGCCAAAAGCCCTTGTCTTTGAGCTCTTTCCTCCTGATTAGGGTTTCTCAAACGTCGTACCAATTTCTTGACTTTTGCTACAGCCAAGGACCAACTGTACTATTGTTTACTTATTATACAACTTTAAATTAGGAGTTCCTGGATGGCGCAAACGGTTAAGAACTCACTAATAGCCAAAAGGTTGGTGGTTTGAACCCACCCAGAGGCGCCTAGGAAGAAAGGCCCGGCGATCTGCTTCTGAAAGGTTACAGTCTTGAAAACCCTATGGAGCAGTTGTACTCTGCACATATGGGGTCGCCATGAGTCGGAATCCACGGCAATGAACAACAAAGCAGAGCCCCAGCCCTGTCCTTGGTGCTGCCGAAAGTCCTTGTCTTTGAGCGCTTTCTTCCCGATCAGCGTTTCTCAAATGTCATAGCAACTTCCTGACTTGCTATAGCCAAGGACCACCTGTGTTGTTTACCGAATATTTCTTTAAATTGACTTTCTAAAAACCTCACACTTATAAACTTTGCATCACTACCGTATCCTACAGAGAAGGTAACGACAAAACCTAACACTAAAAACATGCATTTGTGTACTATGAAAACAAATGTTATTAAATCCTGGTGACATCCAATGGACTGCTGGATCCTCAGGTCCGCTTAGTTTGCTAAAAAGAGAAACTCGAATTTGTTCACAAGGTGTTCCAGACATCCTAGCATCAAAGTGAGCCTTTCTTTTTCCAGGGAGGATTGACACATCCCGGGGCTCCAGTTCTGCCATCCCCACCTAACCTTGCCGGCCTCCAGTGCGCCTGCGCTATCGCTCTTACGCGGCCGAGCCCCGCCCCCTCTAAGGAGAGACCATTGGCCTCGGGGGCGGGCCCTGGGCACAAGATGGCTGCTGCGCGCCCGGAGTTCCCGAGTCGGAGCTCACCGACCTCGGAGTCCAGATCTCCGGAGCCACCGGACCTGGTGCGGGAAAGGAAGGGGCCTGGGCGCGGGGCTCGAGGCGGGAGGAGGGCGCGGAGCAGGGGGCGGGGCCTGGGCGGGGCCTATGGGGGCTGAGCGGGGGAGGTATTTAGGGATTTGGCCTTGGGGGCGGAGCTTTTCGTGGTTGAGTGAGGGGAGGGTTTGGGGCAGGGCTTGGGGAGGAGCCTATGGATTCCGAGATGAAGATATGAGGGTGGGGTTTAGAGAAGAGCATATGGGTATCGAGGGGAGGATATGAAGGCGGGGTTTAGAGAGGAGCCTATGGCTGGGAAGATTTTGATGATGGGGGCTTAAGGAGGAGCCTATGGGTGTCGAGTGGAAGATTTGAGGGCGGGGTTTAGATGGGAGTTTATGGCTCGGGATAATTTGAGGGTAGGGCTTAGGGAGGAACGTATGGGTGGGGAGGGGCTGGAGGTGGGGCTTTTTGTGGGCGGGATCTGAGCATGGAGTTGTCTACTGGGATTGGATGGAACATCTGAGGCGGGGCTACGTCCAGTGGAGGAGTCAGGGATTGTGTTTATATAATTAGGGCGCAGAGACTGAAGAGGGGCGGAGCCTCAGAGATGTTTTAGGACTAATTGATTAGGGTAGAAGGTTGGGAAGGTGACCCTGAAAGACATGGGGAGGGTATGACTGGTGCACCCATGTTGGGGAGAGGGATGATTCTGCAAGGGTCTGGGTGATGTGTCTCAATGTCCAAGGGAGAATTTTGAGGGAGAAATGCCCGCTACATGGTAACTTAGGAACCTCCTCCAAATTCCCCAACTCAGGATTGGAGAGTGGCTGAGGACATTTATTAATTCAACAAACATGTATTGAGCGCCTCCTTTGTCTGTGGATGGAGATGAACAAGACAGACAAGGACTATGTTCTCTTGGAGCTTGGAGTCTAGTAGAGCAGACAGCATTGTGATAGGTTCTATAAAGGAAATAAAAAGTGTGATGTGATAGAGTGGGGGGTGGAGGGAAGCTAAATTTAGACAGAGAAGTCAGCTGTGTGTTGGCTTATGTTTACACTGGGGTCAGAGAGAAAAGCAAGAGCCAGAACACGACGGTTATTGTAAGTCGTGATAACCATTTTGGATTTTAAGTGTAATTGGAGTCATTGCAGGGTTTTGAGTGGGAGAATGACTTGATCTAATTTACATTTTCAAAGGCTCATTCAGGCTGTTATAAGGAGGTGGGTTATGAGGGGGCAGGAGCAGAATGAGATTTCATTTATGCAGCTCTTTCAGTTGTCAAGACAAGACATGGTGGGTTTTAACTAGGGTGGAGGAGAGAAATGGATGGATCCGTGATATACAGTCGATCTTCGTTATTTGTGGGTTCCATATTTGCAAATTCGCCTACCCACTAAAATGTATCTGTAACTCCAAAATCAAGACTTGAGCGGCTTTTGTGGTCATTTTCAGACATGCAAAGAGCAGTGAAAAACTTCCGTCGTGACTCACAAGGCTGGTTTGCTATTTGCTAATTCACTGTTCCCAGGGAACTTATAGAGCACATTACCTTACTGTGAATATTAATAATCAACTACAGTTGAGGACAGCCCCATAAAACCAAATGGGACTAATGAGGCACAGCAGTCCAGGGACAAGGACTAGAAGGCAAAAGGGAACAGGAAAGCTGGTGATAGGGAACCCAAGGTTGAGTAAAGACAGTGTTGAGGTGTAGTGAGGTTGTTAACCATTGTCTAAAGTGAGAATAGCAGCACAATTGGAAGAGCGTAGTCGATGTCACTGAACTGTGCATGTAGAAATTTTTGAAATGGTGTATTTTTGGCTATGTATAGTTTCACAAAAAAAAAACAAAAGGTAGAGAAGGGAGAGGGTTGACATGTCGTGGGGTTGTTAACCAATGTCAGAAAACAATACGTGTACTACTGTTTAATGAGAAACTATTTGTTCTGTAAACCTTCACCTGAAGTACAATTTAAAAAAGAAAAAAAGAAAAAAAAAAAAAAAAAAAAAAGAAATCCACTACAGTTGATTTGGACAGTGCAAGTCTTGATGGGGATGCAGCAGAATCCTGGAGGATGGAGAACAGGGTCTAGGAATTGAGGGGCTCATATGCTACAGAGAAGATGGATTTGTTTTTGTTTTATAATTCATATTATTTATTTCTGTTGTGGAGAATATACACAGCAAAACGTACAACAATTCCACAGTTTCTACATGTACAATTCAGTGACATTGATTACATTCTTCAAGTTGTGCAACCATTCTTACTTCCTTTTCTGAGTTGTTCCTCCCCCATTAACAAAAACTCACTGCCCACTAAGGTTCTTGTCTAATCTTTCAAGTTGCTGTTGTGGGTTTGATCCCTTATAGGTAGATCTTAAAAGAACATAATGCTTAAAGCAGACCTTCTTTACTAGTTAAGCTATGTTATCGTTTGGTTTTAAGAAGACATCAGGGGATATTTTGGTTTAAGGTTTAAAGATTATATCAGGGCAGTAGTTTCAGGGGTTCAGCCAGCCTCCATGGCTTCAGAAAGTGTAGATTCTATGAGAATTTGAAATTCTGTTCTGCATTTTGCCCTTTTTGATCAGGATTATTCTATAACAGGAGATGGCTGTTTTAATAAGTGGGTCAGTTTTGGGGAGATGCTAGGAGGAGGTCTCGAGGCAAGTCCACAGGCTCCTTGTTTCTTCTCCCCTTTGCTCAGGTCCTGGTGCCTGATGATGGCCACCCCACTACACCCTCGAGTGACCTCATCGAGATCCAGGTGGTGAAGGTGACAGACACCAACCTGGTCCCTGAGCCCCCGGAGCCGGGCTCTCTTCACTGTGCCTTGTGCCCAGCTGCCTTCCGGCTGGTTTCCGAGCTGCTGTTCCATGAACATGGCCACCTGGCCGGGGCTGAGGGTGGCCAGCAGGGTGGGGACCCAAGCCGGTGTCACGTGTGTGGCCACAGCTGCCCAGGTCCTGCCAGCCTCCGGGCCCACTACAGCCTACACACAGGAGAGCGGCCCTACCGCTGCCCCCTTTGCCCCCGGGCTTTCAAGGCCCTGGCGCCTCTGCTCCGGCACCAGCACCGACACGGAGTGGAGCCGGGGACCTCCCAGAGGCATCCAGAAGCCGCAGCGGTTCAGGAGCAGAGGCCCGGGGTGCCCCAAGAGAGGGCGGAGGTGGTGATGGCGGCGGCTGCAGCCGGAGCAGCCATGGGGAAGCCCTTCGCGTGCAGGTTCTGCGCCAAGCCGTTCCGCCGCTCCTCAGATATGCGCGACCACGAGCGGGTGCACACGGGCGAGCGGCCGTATCACTGCGGCATCTGCGGCAAGGGCTTTACCCAGTCCTCAGTGCTGAGCGGTCATGCCCGCATCCACACGGGCGAGCGCCCCTTCCGCTGCTCTCTCTGCGACCGCACTTTCAACAATTCCTCCAACTTCCGCAAGCACCAGCGCACCCACTTCCATGGCCCCGGGCCTGGCTTGGGACACTCTGGAGGCCAGCTGGGATCGGTGGCAGGGACAGGGAGTGAGTGTGGGGCGGGAAACACCTTGGAAGAGGGGCGAGGGGAAACCATGAATGTGAAAGTGGAGGTTGACCAGTAGGCTGGGAGAGTGGGGGACACGGGGGAATTAACATGGAAGTAGAAGACAGATTGCAGGGAAGGGGGATGGGAAAAAGGCACGGAGCAGAAAAGGGAAGGTTGGGGGAGAGATGACATCAGGGCTAACGGAGATAGCCACGAACAGGTAGGGTTGGATAGTAGAGGAAGAGGAGAGGAAGAGCCAGGTTCAGGACCCCCCACAAACTCTTGCAACAGCTTTGTGAGGCTTAGGAAAAGGTACAGTTGCAGCCACTTGGATGCCCAGCTAAACACAAGCAACATGGGCTAGATTTTATTGCCCCAGTTGCCTCCTCATTGGGTTGTCCTTGTGTAAGACACAACTTGCCACAGCAGGACACAACTTGTCACAAGAAAGCCTGGGCACTATGAAGGAGAAGCCAGGGTTGAGCGGAAGGGGTGGAATCGAGGTCCTCCATAGCACCTCTAGTCCAGCCTTCCATCTGCAGAACCCTGGACTATCTTGGGGGCTTCCTAGGGTGGACCAGGATAGAATCATTTGCCTACCTCACTGGATTGCACTGGACCTGGGGTGCCTACCCACCTTCTGGCAGAAGATGCCCACAAGGTCCCCCATAAAGAGACTCTGGGATCCATCACCTCAAAGCCAGAGGGTCCCCAAGTCACAACCGAGAGCCACTGAGGCCTCAAGTGTGTAAACCTGACCATAAGGATCTTTACTCCAAGAGCTGCCACCCCCACCCCCATGGTGGTCCCTCCTAAACCCACCTAGACTGCTATTTGGAGGTAACTGAAAACATGGATGACAAATAGCCACCTCATATGCCCTTTCAAAAGCTTTAGGCTCACAGCCTGTGGCTTCCCAGATCTACAAAGTAGCTTCAGGTTTCTGTAATACCCTCCACTCCCAATCTGAAGCAAACAGCTTATTGCCCAGTCCTCAAACAATCCCAAAGAAGGTTTAGCTGATAACGGCATGGCAGGCTGGTCGGGATTTAAAACTTGGATGTGGTGGGTATGGAATAAGAGCCACTGAGGTGGTGGGGAGATGAGGACTTGGAGCTGGAGGTGGGAAACCTCCAGTTCTGTTCCCATTAAAGGATTTTCTGAAGGGTTTCTTTATGTTGGTCTTGTATTTGGGTTGTCTGTCTTTGGCGGGCAGGGGTAAAGGGACCACATTGGTCTTGCTACCAGTACTAGGTTGCAGTGCGCCTCTCTCCAAACCTCTGTTTCCTCATCTTCAAAATGGAGGTAAAGACTTCCACTTTCCAGTCTGGCATGTAAGAGCTTGGAAGTCATCACTCCCATCCTCACAACAAGAAAAAAGCTGGAAAATGGAAAATCAACATATAGATCCATCAGAGAATGGAGGTCACAGAGCAAACCACTTCCCAGAAAACTGGAGAGAGAGACAAGCTGATTGAATCACCGCTTACCAGAGGCAGAACCCTCTGCTGCTAGACCCAACATGGAGTAGGACTACTTAAAGAGTAATCGAGTAATCGCTGGAGAACGTGTGGACTGGCTTGAGAGAGTAAAGATTCCTGGTTAGGGGCCCCACATTTTGAGAATTTTACCTCCAGGACCCCACCAGGTTTCTCACTGTGAAGCTTCGAGAAAAATCCCCTCATGCTTCCAGAAGGGAAGGGAAAAAGTAAAATGGGGGTAAATAATCTCTGGCTATTCAGAAATGTCATGTGGTTCAGAGCTGCATGGGAGGTGCAAACGGTTAAGTGCTTGACTACTAACTGAAAAGGTTGATGGTTCTAACCCACCCAGAGGAGCCTTCGAAGAAAGGCCTGGTGATCTGCTTTCAAAAGGTCACAGCCTTGAAAACCCTATGAAGCACAGTTCTACTCTGACACATGTGGGGTCACCATGAGTTGGAATCAACTTAATGGCAATTAGTATGTGGTTCAGCTATGAGGGGGACAGGGAAGTTTGGCAAAAAGGAGGGACTCCTGTGATTAGCATGCTTATTAAGGAGGGAGAGTCCCTGATTTGCACACCTTCCATTCACCCAACATCACCCATTTGACAAACCCATAGCTAACCGATAGTCAACTGTACTCAACATGACAGGAACTTGCTCTAGAACTCTTCTCCATGTTTCCTGTCTTGTTGGCATCACCACCCATGGCAGGCTCCTTAAACCTTCCTTATCCGTCACCCACATGTCTAATCCCTTATCAGTCTCCCTCTATTGAGCCAGCTAAATATCTCTGGGCTCTGAACGCTTCTTTCCATTGCCACTATCCTTGTAAAGCAAGTCAACAATCATCTGCATCTGGATAGCTGTGCAGCAGTCCTGCCAGCTTCTCAACACCCGGGCTTTGCTCTCTGCATACTCCATACTGCAGCCACACCGAGCCTTCAAGAACAAATCCTGACCTTGTCTCCAACCCCACAGCTCCTCGTTGCTTTGAGAAGAGATTACAAACGTTAATGCCTGTGGGAGCTGGGTGACAATGTAAATAAAAGTAAGGAAGCCAGGCTCAAGGGGAAAATACCAGCACAAGCAGAGTGCAATATGGCAACTGACACTTGGGGTTGGTGTTGGGATTCAATGGGGAGTGGTGGAAATTGTGGCAAATTGGAAAGCATATGCCTCATTTAAGGAGGGCAATGGCTGCTCAGCTCCAGGGAGGAATGCAGACTGGGTTACTGGATCTTATAAATTTTCCAGAACTGCCATTAGTTCGCATTATGTAAAATCTTTCGATTTTCAGATATTCACCACTAAGTCGGACTTTTTTTTTTTTTTAATGCGTGGACTGAACAAAACACATCAGTGGGTCATATCCAGTTTCCAGCCTCTGAGATCCTGCAAAAACCATCCAAACTCCTCAATTTGGAATTCAAGGCCCTTCAGGATCCAGCCCTCCCCACCCCCCATGCCTCCACCTCTTCAGCCTCATATTCCAGAGCTCAAACCAGAGGCATGAGGATGGGTGGGAGGGCAGAAGGGGGAGCTTGCTCCCAGGCACAAGTCCGAGGGAGCCCCAGACGAGGCGCTACAAATATGAAAGGCGCCGGACTGAGGCAGTCGGACAAGAGGAGAGAAGGCATTCCTGCTGATGCTTGGCCACTATCAACGTTCATACATTTTTAAATGGAGCGGGGAGTGCAATTTAGAGATTGCCTCTGGGTGCTCTTTACCCTCGCTCTGCCCCTAGCTCAAACCCCACCCTTCAGCCATACTACTCAATGCTGTTGAGTGGATTCTGACTCACAGTGACCCAATAGGACATAGTAGAACTGCCCTGTAGGCTTTCCAAGGCTATAAGCCTTTATGGAAGCAGACTGCCACACCTTTCTCCCTCAGAGTGGCTGGTGGGTTTGAATGGCCTACCTTTTGGTTAGCAGTCCAGCATTTAATCACTGAGCCACCGGGACTCCTTGCTGCCGTACTAATCTTGAAATTCTCCAGAATAGCTGGGCTTAGTTAGACACTCCAACTCTTCCACCTAGAATTCTTTGTCCACACCTTCACCTGGCAAGCTCCGATTGCTTTATGTCATTGTTCAGGTATCACTTCCTCCTCCAGGAAGATTTTTCTAGCCCCCCCTTGTCTGATGGGTGACTCAGTGGTGCTTGCTTGGCCCCCTGTAACACTCATCTATCCCTTACATTGTGATGCTCCACATCCATGTGGTTTCTGAGCACAAGGTCTGATTGATTCATGCTGAGTCTCTAGCATTAGAACATAGTGGCCACACTAGGTTGAGGTCCTTGAGTGGGTCAAACTGGACTTGTCCAGGCAGTACCCTTCTTACCTGGTTTTGTCGTCAAACTTCAGCATGGCGGCACCCTGGGACTGGAGACCCAATTCTACCATGGATTGACTAGGTGCCCCTTTCTTTTCCAGGACCTCAGACTCCTCTTCAGACAAATAGGATAATTAAACATGTATCACAGGGCATCTCTTTCACTCTTCTGAGAGTCAAAATGAGAGCTGTGAAATGGCTTTTTTAAAAAAAAAAAAAACTCTCCATTCCCCACCCTTCCCACCCACGCCCGGTAACCACTAATCTTTTGTCTTAATTTACCTATTCTAGATACTTCATATCAGTGAAATCAAACGATATTTGCCCTTTTGTGCCTGGCTTATTTCACGAAGCACAATGTTGTCAAGGTTCATCCATGTCGTAGAATGTATCAGGACTTTATTTCTCTTTATGGTTGAATAATATTCCATTGTATGTACATATAACATTTTTATCCATTCATCTGTTGAACATTTGGGTTGTTTTCACCTTTGGCTATTGTGAATAGTGCTGCAATGAACATTGGTGTACATGTATCTGTTTGAGCTCTGCTTTCAAGTCTTTTGGGTATGTATCTGGGAGTGGAATTGCTGGATCATATGGTAATTCTAGGAGTCCCTAGTGATGTAAATGGTTAACCACTGAACTACTAACTGAAAGGTTGGTGGTTCAAGCCCACTCAGAGATGCCTCGGAAGTAAGGCCTGGCAATCTGCTCCTGAAAGGTCACAGCCTTGAAAACCCTATGGAGCAGTTCTACACTGCACACTTGGGGTCTCCATGTGTTGGAATTGACTCGATGGCAACTAACAACAATATGGTAATACTCCGTTTAACTTATTGAGGAACCTCCAAACTGTGAAAACGCCTTTGGAGACGCCAAAATTATTACCTTGGAAGTGCAGGGATTATGAGTGATCTTCATAATGAACGAGAGTCTGCACGAGGCTGGAACACAATGGTGGCTCAATAAGAGTTCTCTTTCGTCTTGCTAGAGGGCAAGGAGCATGTTGGAGTCATCTGTTTCCCCAGTGGCCAGCACAGGAACTGGCGGGGAGGTCTCTCCAGGGGATGATGGCTGGATGAATAATTAAGGAGAACACCACGAAGGGGAAGGAGTCCAGGCATGTTAAAGCAGAGACTTACCTGTCTTGTCCATCTCCATACCCGCAACTCGCACAATAAAGCTTGGAATAGAGTAAGTCCTCAGTAAATACTGGTTCAATGAGTAAAAGCAGGGAGAAGGCGAGGCAGAGAGCGCTGAGGAATCAGTCCCAGAGGAAACAACAGCTCCTAACGTTCTGTTTTGCAGCACTTGATCCCCACTCCCCCTGGGATGCAAGAAAGGACTCAAGCAGCCCTGTTGATAAGATTTATTATTCTCCGCTCTGTACAAGCCTCGTCTGCCAGCCCACCCCCCCACCCCCACAATCCAAAAGAGCACCCAGTCCCCCCTGGTGCCCTCCCAACTCGGCTCAGACTCCACTGTCCAGTCAGGTTCGCGAGGACTAGGCGGGGGCAGTTCAGACCCCACCTCCAGCAAAGCTGACTGGGGGCCGAACGGTGCTGGGGGCTGATGAGGGTTACAAAAATGCGGGAGGACGGCGGATCAAGTTCGCGTCTGATGGGATGAGGGTGGAGCCAGAGAGGCCAAGGATGGGAGTGATGCAGTCTTGAGTTTGTACGGATAGGTCTGGAAGGAGGCGAGACTGTTCTACGTTCTGAAGAATGGGGATACAGCAAGGAGGGGGCAGTGCGCTCATCAGCCGGGCTGGGGGTCCAGGGGGGGCATCTGATTGGAGGGGTGGGTGGCCATCCCCCTGCTCAAGCTTCTTTCCCTGCCAGGGCGCCAGCCCCCGCTCCAGGCCCCCCGAGGCCCTCAGCCTTGTGAGCTAGGCGGTGCTTCTTGAGACCGTAGGTGTTGGCGAAGCCCTCGCCACAGGAGGAGCAGCGGAAGGGCCGGCCGCCCTGGTGGGCCGCCAAATGTTTGCGGAAGTAACCGGGATCCTTGAAGGCCTTGAGGCAGGCAGGGCAGCGCAGCTCGGGTCGCGGCGGCTCGTGGGCGCGCTGGTGCCGCAGCACGGAGCTCAGGTAGAAGAAGCCCTTGCCGCAATGCTCGCAGCGGTAGGCGCGCTCGCCCAGGTGCAGCCGCTGGTGCTCCAGCAGATTGGAGCGGTAGCGGAAGGTCTTGCCGCAGGCGCCGCAGCGCTGGGGTCGCGCTACCGCGTGTAGCCGCCGGTGTTCCGCCAGGCTAGAGGACTGCGCGAAGCGCTTGGCGCACACGCCACACTTGAAGGCGCGCTCGCCCGTGTGCACCACGCGGTGCTGCCGCAGGTACCAGGAGCGCAGGAAGCCGCGGCCGCACACACCGCAGCGGTAGGGCCGCTGCTCCGTGTGGCAGCGCTGGTGGCGCATGAGCAGGGCTGCCTCCCAGAAGCGCTTGCCGCACACGGGGCAGCGGAAGCCACGCTTCTGCCGGTGGCTGCGGCGGTGCAGGAGCAAGTCGTAGGCACCGGCGAAACTCTGGCCGCACAGCCCGCAGCCCAGCGTCCTGCGCACCAGGTGTACGTACTTGTGCGTCACCAGGCCCAGGAAGTGCTTGAAGCTCTGGCCGCACGTGGCGCAGCTGAAACGCTCCGGGCCCGCGCCTCCGCCGCCACCCCCGGCCGTCCCTGTGCCTCCCGCGTCCTCGCTGCCCGCCACGCCCGCTAGAGCCGCCACAGCCGCGCCCACCTCGCCCGCCAGCCCGTTGTCCAGAGCACTGGCCGCATCGGCTCCGCCGCCACCGCCGTCAGGAGGCTGGGTGCCACCAGGCGCGGGCGGCAGCAGGCGTTCGGGTGCCGCCTGGTGCACCAGCTTGTGCCACATGAGGTTCTCGATGAAGCCGAAGGTCTTGCCGCAGGCGTCGCAGCCATACGGCTTCTCGGCCATATGCGCCTCCTTGTGGCTCATGACGTGGAAGAGATCCGGGAAGTGCTCGCCGCAGTCGGAACAGGCGTAGCTGAGCGCGTCGGCCTGAGCCCCGCCGCTGCCAGCAGCCCCAGGCCCGCAGGCCCCCGCTGCGCCCTGGGTGCCTGGGAGCCCCGCGGCGCCAGCCAGGGCGCAAGGCAGCTGCAGGCGGTGCACCTGGCGGTGGCGCGTGAGGCTCTGTGGGTAGCCGAAGACCTTGCCGCAGAGCTCGCACTTGTAGGGCCGCTCGCGCGTGTGCACCACGTGGTGCTTGCTCAGGTGGAAGGACTCGCGGAAGCGCTTGCCGCACACAGGACACTGGTGCGGCTTCTCGCCTGTGTGGATGCGCTCGTGGCGCTTCAGGGTCTCGCGGCGCCCGAAGCCACGCCCGCAGATGCCGCAGCAGAACGTTTTGCCGGGCGCGCTTGCCCCAGAGCCCCCAGCGGCGCTGGGGCCTGCGCCTCCGAGCAACAGCGGGTGCGCCCCCAGAAGCGGCATGGGCACGGCGCCATACACCACAGCTGCCGCTGCCGCCGCCGCCTTCTCGCTGTCGGTGGCCGGCGGGTCTGGGGGCAGCAGGTAGGGGCCGGGGGGAAAAGGCGGCGCGGGCTGCGGGCCCGAGGCCGGCGCGTCCTTGGGGGCGTTGGTGGCGTCAGGGGCCGGCGGGGCGTGGGCGGCCTTGTGCCGAAGCAGGCTTTGCGGCGCCGAGTATGATTTACCGCACAGGTCGCAGGGGTACATGGGCCGCGGCCCCGCGCCCCCAGCATGGGCCGCCTGGTGCTTTAGGAGGTAGGAGGCGTCACGGAAGGCCTTGCCGCAGATGCCGCAGGGCAGGCGCAGCAGGTCGGCGGAGTGCGTCTTCACGTGCCGCTTGAGGCTCTCCCTGCGGTTGAAGCTCTTGCTGCACACGGAACAGGAGAAAGGCTTTTCGCCCGTGTGGATAATCTGGTGCTGGTGCAGGTGACTGGGCTTCTTAAAGACCTTCCAGCAGAGAGGGCAGGCGAAGGGGCCCTCCCCACTCCCTGTGGCCGGAGGGGGCACCCCCACACTGGTGGCGGCCGCGGTGGCTGAGGTTCCATCCGTGGAGGGAGTGGGGGCCCCGGGCGTGGCTGGTACGCCAGAGGAAACGGTGGTGGCAGCAGTGGTGACGGTGGTATTGGCTGTGGGCGTGGGGAGGCCCAGAGGTGGGAGGGGCGCACCAGGCTGGGGTGGGCCGCCGGCGGCTGGCGGCAGGTCCTTGTGGCAGCGGCGGTGGCGGATGAGGCTGGAGACGTGGTTGTAGGTGCGGCCGCAGATGCCGCACTCATAGGGCCTTTCCCCGGAGTGCACTAGCATGTGCTGCACCAGGTGCGAAGACTGCTTGAAGGACTTCTGGCACACACCGCAGGGGAAGCGCCGCTCCATTAGGTACTTGAGCCTCCGGAAATAGCCCTTGTCGTCCTTGGCGGGGTCACAAGCCACCCCGGCAGTGGGTCCCGGCGGGGTCTGCGCGGGGGCAGGCAGTGGCGCTGGGGCACCGGTAGGTGCGCCCAGCCCCGGTGTCACCCCTGGCCCGGAAGCCGGCCCCCCTCGCTTCAGATTCCCAAAAAGGTGCTGATGTCCCGAGAGGTCGACGATCCCCCACTGCGGGGCAGGGAAGGCTGCATCGAAGAGAGGAGGCGGAGGGGCCCCGAAGGTGGGGGGCAGGGGCGGGTCCGGCTTCTTGGCTTGGGAAGAGGAGGCAGAGGACGTGGAGGAAGAAGATGAGGAGGAGGAGGAGGAAGGTGTCTCCGCCTTAGGCTTGAAGGTCGACTGGGGAGGGTAGTCGTACTGGGGGGGTGGGGGCTGGGGCGGGGGCTGGGGCGGGGGCCCCGGGGCGCAGGGCAGGGCAGCCACAGCCTTGGCGTGCTCCCCGTACAGCTCCATGGGTTCGAAACGCTGGTGGTTGAGGAATTCCAGGAAGTCGAAGGGATAACTCTGGAAGTGGACCCCATCCTCGCCCCCTAGGCCGCTGCTCCCGCCGCCCCCGGCGCCGCTGCCCGCTGGGTTTGCCTCCATCGCGGGCAGGTAGGAGTTGGGAGACCCTGTGAAGAAGAGGGTGGGTCTGAGGCACCGGGACCAGGATGCTAGGTCTCTGCAGCCCGCCACTTCTTCACTTCTAGCCTTCCCCATCAGAGCCTTCTGTCTTTCCACACCACAGAGGGGCTCTCCCTCTCAGCTCGACCACCCAGTGGCCTCTCCGGCTCTGTCCTCCCCCCCCCCCCGGCGTCCCCTTTGTTCCTCAACACTCTCCCCACTCCCGTCTCTCGGGGCCCTTATACACCACCTTCTGTGTCCAACCCCCAGGTCCCCTGCCCTTAACACCCCCCCACCTCTACCTTCTCTCCTTCTCAGGCACTCTGCTTTCTGCTCCCCCTCGCAGGCTCCATGCTCTCAAACCACCCCCCCCAGCCCCTCTGTTCTCAACCCTCCAGGTTTTGCCTCTGTAAAACCAGAACCCTAAGTTTCTGTCATAGTGGTTCCACTGTCCCTGGGTGGCAAAAAGGTTAAGCACTCAACCAGCCGAAAGGCTGGCGGTTTGAAACAACTCAGAGGTGCCTCGAAGACAGGCTGACAATCTGCTTCCGAAAGGTCACAGCCTTGAAAACCCTATGGAGCAGTTCTATTCTGCACATATGGGGTCACCATGAGTCAGAATCGACTCAGTGGCAATGGGTTTTGTTTTTTTTTTTTAGTTTATCATAGTGGTTAAGAGGGTGGACTCTGGAGCCAGAATGCCAGGTTAAAATCTTTTAAGCTCCACCACGTTCTGTGTGATCATGGGTAAGTTACTGAACCTGTCTGTCTTAATGGCAGGCACATAAACAAGGGTGATAAAGCACATACCTATCTCATAGTTGTTGGGAGGATTCAACAAGCTAGTATGTATAAAGCTGTTAAGACAGATGGTTCCTGCCACTTTGGAAGGCTCTCTGTACTGGGTTGAATAGCGTCCCCCCAAAAAAACTCATGTCTACTGGGAACCTGCGAATGCGACCTTACTTGGAAGTGAGGTCTTTGCAGATGTCATCAAGTTAAGATGAGGTCATACCAGATTAGGGTGGGCCCTAATCCAACTAGCGGTATCCTTACAAGAGGGAAATTTAGACACAGACACATACAGGGAAAACGGCCATATTAAGACTGGGGCAGAGACTGGAGTGATGCAGCCACAAGCCAAGGATTGCGGGAACCACCAGAAGCTGGAAGAGGCAAGAATTTCTTCCCCTAGAGCCTTTGCAGGGAGCAGTGCAGCCCTGCTAAGACCCTGATTTTGGACTTCTGGCCTCCAGAACCGTGAGAATGAATTTGTTTTAAGCCACCCACTTTGTGGTACTTTGTTACGGCAGCCCTAGGAAACTCATACAGGCGATAACCCCTGTACTGTCAGGAGACTGAATTAGAATGAGATGAAAGCATTAATCCGTACTCAATCCTTGTGGCTCTTTCTGCCATCAGTGACACTGTACACCTGGTCCGGGCCTAACAGCAGACGCTCAGGTAGAATGAACCCTTGCCTTTCTGTCCTCACCCCTGGCACATTCCTGTCCCCAGCACACCATCAGCCATCCTGCGGGCTGCCTCCTTTATGGAACGTGGCATTTGATTGCCAGGCTCCACGTGTGTCCTCCCCACCGGAACCTTAGCTCCTGTAACAGATCCTTGAGTCCTCACACCCACCCGTGGGCCTGGGGAAATGCCTCCCTTGAGCCGGTGAAGAGGTGGCAGGAGAATGGCCCATGAGGACAAGATGCTTCTCTGTCCATCCACCCTCCCCCTGGTGCCTGGCTTTGTGCTCAGCGGACCTACTGCAGGCTGACCTTTCATCCCATCTCCACCTGGCTTGCTCCCTCCTTCCACAGGTGAAAGGTGAGTATCTCTTCCATTCTCACCCACAGCCCAGAGTTAGATATTTTTAGTTTCCAGCTCTGAGTGTCCTTGTCCTTGGACTAGACTCAATATCCTCTGCCCTTCACACCCCCTTCATTTAATCAGATCCCCCAGAAGGGCACAGGCATGGCTGGGGAGGTAACTAGAAGGCTGTAGGTGGAACCCAAACGGTATGAGAATGTGAGGAGTAGGGTAGGGTTTTAGGGTGCTATTGGGCGGGGGTATGAGAGTGAAAGTGTTTTGGGGAAGAAGTCACTGCCTAGCTTGCCTCCATTACAGCAAACCTCCCCCCAACAAAAAAAACCCATTTGCTGTCAAGTCCGTTTTGACTCATGATGACCCCGTGCGTCAGAGTAGAACTGTGCTCCACAGGGTTTTCAAGGCTGTGACCTTTCTTCCAAGGTGCCTCTGGGTGGGTTCAAACCATCAACTTTTCAGTTAGTAGCCAAGAGCTTAACCATTTGCGCCACCCAGAGACAGCACATATTAATAATAGGTAATACTGATGGAGCATTTCCTACATGCCAGCCACTGTCCTAAGGTCTTTACACATATCTTCTCACTGAATCTCCATAATTGAGGAGTGACTTGCCCAAGGTCACAGAGCCATAGTCTGTGGCTGGATCACCTGGCTCTACCAGCCTGAGAGCACCCCACTCCCATCTTCCATAGGAGTGTTTTACCAGGGGTGATGGTTAATTTTACATGTCAGCTTGGCTAGACTATAGTGCCCAGCTGTTTGACCAAAACTAATCTAGGTATAGAAGACTCCTGATCAAAAGGGGGTAAAAGCAGAACACAATTTCAAATTCTCATGGACTCAAGACTCTCGAGCCATGGAGGCTGTATGAACCCCTGAAACTGTTGCCCTGAGATAATTTTTAAACCTGAACCCAAAAATATCCCCTGAAGTCTTAAAACCAAACAGTAGTTTAACATAACTAGTAGAAAAAGGACTGCCGTGAGCATTATGCTCTTTTAAGATCTACATGGGATCACAGTGACAACAGCAACTTGAAAGATGAGATAGGAACCTTAGGGGGCACTGAGTTTATGTTAATGGGGGAGGAACAACTCAGAAAACGAGGGTGAGAATGGTTGCACAACTCAAAGAATGTAATCAATGTCACTGAATTGTGCATATATAAACTTGTATGTTTTGCTGTGTATATTCTTAACATAAGTAAAACTTAAAAAACTAGTCTAGATGTTGTGAAGGTATTTTGTAGAGGTAATTGACATTTATAATCAGTTGACTTTAAGTAAAGGCAATGACCCTCGATAATGTGGGTGGGCCACGTTCAGTCAGTAGAAGGCGTTAAGAGCAACACCGAGGTCTTCTGAGAAGAATTGAATTCTGCCTTAAGATTTTAAGGTAGAAATCCTGCCTGCCTGAGAGTCCAGCCTGCTGGCCTGCCCTGTGAATTTCAGACTCAAGACTACAACATCAACTCAGGATCCTGAGTTTCAAGCCTACCCTACAGATCTCGGACTTGCCAGCCCCCACAACTGCGTGAGTCAATTCCTTAAAATAAATCTCTTTATGTTTCTTATTGGTTCTGTTTCTCTGGAGAACCATGACTGATATGCCAGGGGTTGGGTTGTTACCTGATGGTGGAAGAAGGTGGTGGTGGAACTATTGGGGTGGGGGGGTTGCTGGGTGCCGTCAGGTCGATTCCAACTCATAGTGACCCCATGTGACAGAGTAGAACTGCCCCACAGGGTTCCCTAGGCTGTAATCTTTATGGAAGCAGATTGCCAGGTCTTTCTGCTTCAGAGCCACTGGGTGGGTTCAAACTGACAACCTTTTGGTTAGTAGCCGAATGCTTAACTGTTGCACTACCACGACTCCTTAACTATGGGGGTAGGAGCCTTATTTGGGGGTGCTCTCTGGGTTATGAGGAAAGTTTACACACGGGGCCAGGTCGGGGGGAGGTGGTTAGTGGTTTTTGTTTTCTTTTAATTGTATGATCCCATTTATATGAAATTTTTTTTTTAAATATTTTATTGTTTTATGTAAAAGTTTACAGAGCAAATTAAGTTTCCCATTCAACAATTTGTACAGAAAGTGTTCCATGACATTGGTTGCAATCCCCACACTGTGTCAGCATTCTCCCCATTTCCGCCCTGGGTTCCCCGTTTCCTTTCGTCTGGTTTCCTACCCCTTGCTGCCTTCTTATCTCTGCTTTTGGGCAAATGTTGCCCTTTTGGTCTCATACAATTATTTGTTCTACAGAACACGTTCTTTTCGGGTGTTATTGTTTATTTTATAGGCCTGTCTATTGCTTGGCTGGAAGCTGATTTCCGGGAATGGCTGCAGTTCCAAGTCAGAGGGGTGGCTTATGGCCATAGGCCCAGGGGTTCCTCCAGTCTCTATCAGGCCAGTAAGTCTGGTCTCTTTTTTACAAATTTGATTTTTTCTACATCCTTCTCCCTGGTTAGTTTTCTTGGACAGATGGAGCATTAATGTGGTAAGATCATTCCCTCTGCCTAGAATATTCTTCCCCAGATTTCCACAAGGCTCCCTCTCTCATCTCCTTCAGATGAGATGTTTCCTGTTCAGTTGTTACCTCCAAGAGAGGTGATACCCTAGCTAAAAGCACACCCCACCCATCACTCTCCTCATCCTGCTGCATTTGTTAATCACACTTATCGCCACTGACTTACTTTATATTTCTTTGCAGTTTGTTTACTGTCTGTGTCCCTTACTAAGAGAGCAAGGACTTGGCCTGTCTTGTTCACTGCTGCGCCCCAGCAGTGCCTTGAACCTTGTGGGTGCTCAATAAATACTTGCTATGTGGAAAGTAAACAACATGCTTCTTGGAAATTTGGCAACGACTCTGGATTATGGTTGCACAACATGACTAATGTAATATCACTAAACTGTACACCTGAAAAATGCTGAACTGGCAAATGTGTTATATATATTTTTACGACAAACAAAAAAACCAATATGCTCCCAAGTCTCCAGTGGGTCAAAGAAGAAACCACAAGGGACATCAGAACATGCTTTCAAGTTAATGAAAACGAAAACATAACAAAACTCATGAGGTGCAGCTAAAGTAGTGCTTACAGGAAAACTTATAGCCATAATGCCTATATCAAGAAATATTTGTTAAATGAGTGAA